TACGATGAGATGGTCGCAGCTCACCTCAGGTGGGACCGACGGATCAGACGGTGATGCTTTAGTGGTGTTGTGAGGACATAAAGGTGAAAGAAAATGGCTGTGTGTATGTTTCAGGTGTACCTACGCTGTAGCCAACCATGACTTTGTTGAAGCCTACAAGTTCCAGACGCTCGTTGTTCAATATCCTTCATAAAGTGACTTTTTGGTCTCTTAATCACACAATCTGACCTTCAGTAAATAATCACTAATCAGTCTGATCAGCTCCTTGACTCCTCACGTCCTTCTTGAAGGCCTTTCAGTCCCACAAAGAGGAGAACTGGTGAGTTCAGTTTCAAAGTAGCAGACTGAAGCTGATTCTAACGTGCTCCCTTTGAACACACCATCACTACCTTCTGTTTCAGGGCTCTGCCCGTGATGTTTGCTGTCACCCTGGACCTCCGGATATTCGCCAACAACGTAACTAAAATTTCAACCTGGCTTTTCTTTTATCTGTTCAGCAGTCAAATTCATCCATATATGTGTGTTTATTTACAGTCCTGCACAAAAGTCTTGAGCCTCAACTCATTTCTTTAGATTTTGCAAATATTGACTTTCAACCTTGTTAGATTTGCAACAACCCTGTGATTGCCTTATATGCTATATTTCCATGTATGCTTGCACTGGTTTCCCATTTTCCTAGCAAAATATATAAAGAAATGAGGAGTACTCAGTATTGTGTTTATATTTATAGTAAGAAAACTAAAAAATGTAACCACTTTCCTCTAAAAATGCAAATAAAACAGCTGACGTAAAGAAATTTGTATAGAGACAGGACCAGGAAATTACAGGTGAAAACCTTCAGGTGGGATTGAAAGTTATTGAAAGTGGGTTTTAATTTTATTGTGTCCAGGCAGAGCAGCAGCTACAGAAGAAGGGTAAAGGTCAGCCTAGCGAGATGTTGGAGAAAGCAGCAGAGCAGCTGATGAGCTGCTTCAGAGTTTGTGCCAGTGACAAGTCAGTAAATATACACGTCCTCTGTGTATGCGTTTATTAGATTTCCCATTTTATGCACTATTATATTTCATGTTTAATGGACGTCCTTGTTAATATTGACATTTTCAATGTTGGTAGTCGTGCAGGTATTGAGGACTCAAAGAAGTGGGGGATGATGTTTCTGAGCAACCAGCTCTTCAAGATTTATTTCAAGGTCTAAACTCAATAATTAGTGACTGAAACACCCAGTTTATGAATCATCGATGGAGATTTGGTGATTGGTTATAGCTGCAGGTTTATGTGTTGCAGATCAATAAGCTGCACCTGTGCAAACCTCTGATTAGAGCCATTGATAGTTCCAACCTGAAGAATGACTACAGTCCAGCTCAGAAGGTCACCTATAAATACTACGTGGGCCGCAAAGCCATGTTCGACAGTGACTTCAAACTGGGTAACACTGCTACAGATATGGCGCAGTGTCGACTTAAACATTATTTGAAATTGTTAAACGATTCAGGTTTGGACTACAGTTAAAATCTTTTTTGTTTCTGTAGCCGAGGAGTTCTTGTCATACGCCTTTGATCACTGTCATCGATCCAGCCAGAAGAACAAGAGGATGATCCTCATTTACCTGCTGCCTGTCAAGATGTTGCTGGTAAGAAACTTTAGCACCTTTTTAGATTTGGTAAAATGGGTTTACACCAGTTTAGATCCTGATTAGAAAGTCCAGACCAGTTTACACTCAGGACTGTCAGGACTGTTGCATCATGGGAGCAGTGTAATGGTTCACAGGGTAACTGGTTGTTGCTGGTGTTTCAGGGTCACATGCCAACTCATCAACTCCTTAGGAAGTATGACCTCATGCAGTTTTCTGATGTTACCAAAGCTGTGAGGTAAGGAGAGGGGCAGGGGCATTATCACAGGAAGTGACATCACGTCATGTGGGCTCACAGGTAAATGTTTGTGTCAGTGAAGGGAACTTACTGTTGCTGAATGAGGCTTTGTCCAAACACGAGACCTTCTTCATCCGCTGCGGGATCTTCCTCATCCTGGAGAAGCTGAAGATCATCACCTACAGGAACCTCTTCAAGAAAGTGTGAGTGGTTCAGTAGCTGTTTTACCAACACACACACAAACTGAAATGTAATCAAATTCTTTTTACATATTACTTTTTTTAATGTTTTTTTGTTTATGAAGATTGGTCCCTTCATTTTTGAGAGCATTTGGACCTCAAATTTAGTGCCTTGTTTAGGTGTTTTGCCTTGTTTGTGGATATTATTCAGATTTTATAGTTTTATTCTGTAATCTTAATCAAAAAATGACTAATAGCAAATAATTTTCTCTGTAATCTCCGAAAACATGAACCATACCCTGACTGCTTTCTGTCTGCAGGTATCTGCTGCTGAGGACTCACCAGCTGCCTCTGGATGCCTTCCTGGTGGCTCTGAGGATGATGAAGGTGGAGGATGTCGACATCGACGAGGTGCAATGTATCCTGGCCAACCTCATTTACATGGTGAGGAAACTGGAACATAAAAAGCCACTTAGATTCAGGTGAACTGGCAAATAAACGCTGAGCTCTTCTTCTGTGTTTCCTGTCGTCTTCCAGGGTCACATCAAAGGCTACATCTCCCACCAGCACCAGAAGCTCGTGGTCAGCAAACAGAATCCCTTCCCTCCTCTGTCGTCTGTCTCATAGTCTATGAGACAATTCTACAGGGCTGCTTTCCTGGAAACGTTTTTCACTCAATTCATATTTCCTTTATTTTGTACTTTAAAGACATGTCGAATAAAACAGATGTTGGTTTGTAGAGCTTGTATCTGGTTATTACATTTGTTGCTATGAATTGTGGGTGTCAAAGGTTTTATTTTGAGCAGAACTGAACTTTTATCACCGCAAGATTAAGAGACTGGAATTTGTTTTTTCAAAAGCATTTTAATTTACACATTTCAAATACAAATATTATTCATGACTTAATGTTTGTGAAGTTCAGCAGCAGAAAGTTTCAATTTTGTGTTTTTGTTGTGACCATTTGGAAAAAAGAAACTGAATGTAGGACAAGAGACTCATAGCAAAACTGATTTATGTTCAAAGTTTTCAGTCTTTAGGGAGGGCAGCTGTTAATAAGAAGAAAACAAAAAACATTACAAGTGAACAAGAACAGGTGAATCAGTTTCAGATGGTGGCGATCTGTTAGCGAGCTTCTGGATATTGTCTCACTTGGGGAGTCGTGGCTAACTTCTCGATCACCTCCAGCCTCATTCGGATCCAGCTCAGGTAACGAGACAGTTTGCTGAACACCAAACCACCGCCGCTAACCTCACACTCAGACGGTGATGAGATTAGCAGCCCGGTCAGGAACACTGTGCCTTGCTCTACAGTGGCTACAGACGACCCTGGCATCAGCCCGCCACATGGCCTGTTGCTGGTTTCCGAATTTGACCTGCTGACCCCATGCGAGGACTCAAAATTCAGAGCTTCTGAAGTGTGGTTGTAGCTTGCTGTTTTATTCAGCAGCTCGAGGTTAGTGTTTTTGTTTTGGGTTTGATTCTGGAGCCTATTGACCGTGCGTCCATGAAGCCTTCCCTGGACTCCAATCTGGTTCCCTAAAGGTCTGTTTTGATGCTTGTGGCCTCTCTTTGGAATCTCAAGGTGTACATTAGGGTGTCTCTGAGCTCCTGGGCCCTCTTGTGTTTCATTTTGGTACTTTAATGGTTCATTTTGCTTCCTCATGCAGAACATTTTGTTGCTTAGTGGATGTGGGATGTTCAGCTCACGGCGACAATCGTCCAGCGTCATATAGACCAGTTTCTGGTTCTTGCTGAATTCCCAACTCTCTGTAATCCCAGTCCTCCCAGAATGCATCAGGACATTCTCGCTGAAGTCTTTGGTGGGCAAACAGAGGTGGATGAGGCTGGGGCTAAAGGTCATGGAGTCAGCTAGCTCGAGGAGGACGAGGTCATTTTCATGGTGATCTTTATGATAACCGTTGTGAAGGTACATCGCTTTGACAGTGAAGAGCATCCTCTGTTTCTCTGGGAGACAAAGGAAATTAGTTAAGAAATGAATTGATCCACACTGTGGGAAATAAATATTTGGTCTCCTGCTGAATTTGTAACTTTGCTCACTTATCAAGAAAATAATAATTTTGCAATAACTTAATTTTAATGGATAGAGAAAGAACTGCATGATGTAAATGAAAAGTGTAGAGCACACCAGTGCCTTTTACTCAGCAGTGTGCACACAGCGCTCTGCAGCTCAAAAAATGAATTAATAACAGATAAACCTCTCAAAGTACAGCCACAGCCAAAGATTTTTATATGAATGAATGCAGGTGGTATGATGGTTAGCACTTTTGCATCCCAGCAAAAAAGTCCTGAGTTCAACTGGCTGGGCCTTTCTGTGTGGAGTTTGTGTGGGGTCCCTCCAGGTACTCCGGGTTCCTCCCACAGACCAAAGACATGCAGCTAGTGGGGTTAGGTTAACTGATTATTCAAAATTGCCCAAAGGTGTGAATGCTTGTGTGGCTACTGTGTTAGCCCTGCGACAGACTGGCGACCTGTCCAGAGTGTACCCTGCCTTTTGCCCTATGGTAGCTGGGATAGCTGGTAGTCAACCATCAATTTCTGATGGACAGCTTTGGCTTTTAAAACCTTTTGAATCAATTTGTCTTCATCTGATCTGAAATATAGTTTCTAGAGTGAAACACAGATGTAAAACCTGTCCATACACTGCATTAATTTGTCAGTATGTCAATTGCTTATTCAGGGTTTAATGTGTGTAAGGGCTAGTTCTTCCACTTTTTGGTTTGGGTTTAATATTGTCTTCAGTGATTTGAACATTTGATAGAATTTAATCCATGTGTTTGTTTTTTTTGTTTAAAAATTGGGCAAATTGTCTGTGAGCACATCCTGTTTGCAGCCTGAAATATATATACAGTACAAATACTTCAGATACGTTTTTCTGACAATTTTTTACTTTCACTCCCTACAATTTTAACATCCAACTGATGTGTCAGGAGTTAAAGTGCGATTCTTTTCCCCACACTGAGCCAATTACAACTGATTTTAGGTTTCCCCACCTGGTTAATCTGAGTTTAACCCCTGACCATACTTTCCTTTTAAAGTCACCCTCTGCAATATATGCAACAGAAAATAGAAATATGTATTTTTACATTTTCCTCTGCTGATGTTGTACTTAAGCAATTCAGGCTGAATACATTTATTAGAATAAAAATTTAGACTAAAACAAAGTTTTTCTGGCCCTACTGACAATATTTTATTAATACTTTATTAAAGCACATGATTCAGTTAGCTTTGCACAAAAGAACGTCCTCCAAAGAGCTGCTTTTACTTTTTTTCTTAGAGTACATTTCAGAGTCGCCCCTTTTTCACTTTTACTTGATTAAAGAAGTTGAATCAGTACTTGTACTTTTACATGAGTATTTTTCAACACTAGTGTTTGTACTTCTACTTAAGTACAGGATGTCTGTTCTTTTGCAAACTCTGAGTAACAGAAGCAAATTTAAAAACAGTAAAATTTAAAATGGAATGACGTGACTTTTTTAGATTTTTATTCTGAATGGATGAGAAATTGATGTCTATACATCACCCTTTCTATATTTTAATTTAGTAGTAGTTATTATAGTGTTATCATGGTGTGATAACAATAATTGTGATAGCATTTTCCTACCAGCAAGCACATAGAGGTTGGAGGGTTTTGGTTCTGAGTCCTGATAGAGGCAGCGGGCAGAGGTAAGGATGGACCGCTGACCCAGCACCACACCACTGCACAACTTCTGCAGTGTGCTGTTCAGCAGAGACACCTGGTGGCAGAAAACAGACACTTTATTTATTATTCTGGTTTTATTTAGACTGACACCACTGTACCAGAAGATCTTACCTGCCAGGGACAGTTACCATGGTGACACGTGGAAAGAGTTTCCTCAGGAAGTCTTCCACAGGGAAACTCGACTGTGGAGACAAAGACAACAATAAAACTTCATCTCACCAGTTTGAACTGGTCTCATAAAGTCTAGTGTTTTCAGAGCATCCAACCTTCTGGCAGACAGCTCCGTCCGTCGCTGTGCAGCTTGAATCCAGACATGCAGGAGCATCGGAAGGACTCGTAGGTCACTGTGCATAGCTGATGACAAGCAGTCGGACTCTCAGTCGGACACTCTAAGACAGATTTGGAAAACAAAGAATCATCTTTTATACGTGATGGTCTGATATTTCTTAATTCCCATTAGTGCACCATGAGTTTTGCTCTCCCGTCCTTTTATGGAGGTGTGGTCAGACCTGCTGTTTTGGTTTGCTGTGCTGTGGACGACGTTATTGTCTGTAATGCCTCATCCTGTACTTTCAATTCACAGACTGGACCGTAGAAAGGGGCATTGCAGGAGCAGGTAAACCCCCGCACATTGTGAGTGCAGGTCCCTCCATTCAGACAGGGACTCTGCAAGCAGTGGTTTCCACCTCCAAAGACCAAAAACAGAAACTGCTAGTGTTTAGTAAACTAATAAATGTTTACATTTTTGCTGTGAAACTATTAAATCAAATATTTACATTTAAAATAATACATTTGATGACAGTAAATCAACAAAAATATTATTAAAATACATTCTAAACACATTTTAATTATCAAACTGCAGTTTCTAGTTGGAAATTAAATGTTTTTTTTAATTTATTTTATTTCATTAATTAATCAAATGTAGTTTAGCTGAAAGTAGATACTCACCTGAGTAAACAGCCCAGAAAGTGATCTACACACAAACAAAAAACGTTAGAATCCGAGAGGAATTAAGCAATGCACTTTTTGTTTTGTTTTTTCTCCTTTTTCTATGTATGTTTAAAGACGATCATTAAACATGCTCAAATTTTCAAATATGACATAAACAGGCTCAGGATTAAGACTGCAGCTCTGGGTGCATCCCAAGGAGCATTTAAAAAGAAACAGAGAACATCAAATGTAACACAGACATAAAAAAAAATGCAAATCAAAAATGATTAGGTGGTCTTTTAATGAGCCAGAACCCTAAAGAATCAGAACCTAAAACACATTGTTTTAGTCTGTGTTTACTGGAATCTAAAAGTAAAAAAAACAGGTGTAGAAATGAGCGCAAAAGCTCCCTCTTTTAATTTAACTAACCGTCCTCCGGGTGTCTTCAAAGTACTCGCGAGCCTCTTCAAAGTTGCACTGCTCCTCGTAGCACTCCCGCTCCAAGTTGCCCTGTAGGATCTCCTCTAAAATGAACGAGTTGGCCCGTTTAGGGCGCAGGAACACGGCGTGAGCCTCAGAAGCTGAATGAAACACTGAAAACACAAGAGCACTGAAAAGGCTGGAGGCTCCGATATGTTAGGATACCATGTCATAAATAATAAGGTGTCTTTTGCTGAAACAAAAAACAGTAACATTAACAGGAAAACAAATAAATAATTTAGAAACTATGTGATGATTATGGATGTCATAGTTACTTTGCTCAATGTTCTCTACAGTATTGAGTCTTGGAAAAGTCTTCAATTGGCCCTTAGCTGTTGTTTTCCTGGCTTTCTGAAGGTCAATAAAAAAAATTTCTTTGAATAAAAAGCCACTTAACTCAGGCGATGAACCAGTTTTGCATCTACTGGCCAAGAAGCCACTGTATCTTTACAGTGTCAAAAAAAACTGTCACGGTCATTTTGACCAAGCATTTTCAGTTTCTTATGTGTTGGTATCCTTCTGTATTATGATTTATGTTCTTATTCTTTAGTTGTGCTGTTTTGATTATTATTATAGGTGTTGTTCAGTGTCAAGTTTGCATCTTGATGATTTGTTTCTTGTTTCCTGTTTTACTTTAAAGGTCCACGTCTTATGTGCAGTGAGTCTAGTTGTGCTTCCCCCTGTCTCGTTAGGCCTAATTTCTCCCAGCTGTGTCTCCCTCCTGTTTCCTGTTTTGTGATTACTCCTCTGTGTATATAGGTCCTGTGTTTTCCTTTGCTCTCTGTCTGTGCTGTACCCTCAGATTTGTCTGTGTGTTTCAGTTATAGCTTTCATGGTTTGGCTTCTGTTTCATGCCAGCAATAAAGCTGAGGTTTTTGTGTTTGCCATTTTGTTTCCACGAGTCCTGCTTTTGGGTCCTCATCCCTGCCTGCCGCACACAGAGCCCAGACAGTCTCAGCTTCTTTAGCTGAGGGTAAAACAGTTTGATGAGCATAAAAGTTGATGAAAATGTGATTTCCAAAGGCTATTACATGTAGACTTCAGCTAATAACTAATAGAGTTTCAGGGGAGAACAAAAAATAAGAAAATTGTCAGGTCATGTCCGTAAGAAATGGGAAAAACTTCATGCATCTGAATATAAATAGTGTACCAGAATCAGTCAGGGTTTGGCCTCCCCAGAGCCCGGACCTCAACATTATTGAAGCAGTGTGGGACCATGTTGACAGACAACAGAGCAAAAGGCAGAAACATCCAAAGTAGAGCTTTTAATGTCCTTTGAGAAAACTGGAGAACTATTCCTGAAGACGACTTAAAGGAAGGACGAGAAAGCTGCCAAAGACAGTTCAGACTGTGCTGAAGAATAAATGTTCTTCTTATAATTGTAAAAGTCACAATATTAATGGATTATTTTATATTATTTAAGGTAGTACTTATATTCTATATTTTTAACCATTAAGTAACCAAAGTTATAATAATAATGTAGCAAGCAGTCATTGTGACACGATTAGAGCTAATTGTGTCATGACTGTACTGACAGTAGAAATGTTGTTAAATTCTGTGCCAACTTGGAGTATTTTTATACCACTTGAATGTTTTTGTCAATCAACTAAGGAACAACAATAACACAGCAACAGGTCAAAGGTCACTCTCTTACCTTTTCCTTGACTGGAGACCTGAAGGAAACATTGAAGAAGGCAGAACAGGAGGAGAGACGCTGACATGATGCTGACCGCCATGACACTGACTGCACTACTGACACACACACACACACACACACACACATGTCCGCACACACATATATACACACTAGTGACTCACAACAGCAGTACAAACCTCACAGAAATTGTATCATGTTTTTAACAGTCTGTTAAACGGAGTTCATTTATAACTGTCCTGAAATAAACTAAGATGTCAGTCTGGTCCCAGGTCATTTTACTGGTGTGCTTTTTTATGTACAGATAAATATCCAGTCATTATAAAACTATTTGTTTTTTTTTATTCACATGATTCTCTAAAGAGTTAAAAGACAGCACAAGTTTCACTAAACACTCTGTTCTTGAGGTGGACTCTGGCCTTTCTGTTCAAACCACACAAAACAAACTAAAGGTCCGACCTCTGAACGGTCTGCAGGTCTGTTTGTCTGAGGTAAACAAGGATAGATTTCATCACAAATGTTTATCATCTAGTATATCTGGTACATCTGGTAGTAGATTTATCAGGGTTTACAACTTAAAATTTTGATGCAAGAAAATGACCGTTTTCCTCAGCAAAAACACCAATGTTATCGAAAATAAACTAGCTTTTTATGACATTTGCAACTTCATTTTCCTCCAGCAGAGTCACTGGAGAGATCTTTAAATTTCTTTTTAGGACATAACAGTTAAGTTTAAGCAATTTGTTACTTACCATCTAGTAATGCTTGTTTTGTTAGAGTAGTGATTACTTGAAACGTATCATATTCAGTTCAATTCTGTTTATCTTTATAGTGCAAAATCCCAACAGTTATCTCAATGCGCTAGTAAGGTAAAGACCAGACCCTACAATAACACAGAGAAAACCCAACATTTCAAAAGCCTCCTTTAAGCAAACACTTGGCAACAGTGGAAAGGAAAAACTCTTTTTTTAACAGGAGGAAAACATCTGCTTAACCAGTTGGGCATGAGGGGAGAGAGACAGAACAAAAAGAAACACTAAGGAAGAAAGCCAGAGTTTAAGAATAACTAATGATTAAATGCAAAGTATATAATTATGCAAAATGAGTGAAAATGATGAGTGAAAAAAAAAAATAGTGCATCATAGGAAGCCCCCAGCTGACTCAGGGTCACCCGATCCAACCATAACCTTTGTCAAATAGGAAAGTTTTAAGCCTAATCTTTAAAATAGAGATAGTGTCTGTCTCCTGAATCCAAACTGGAAGCTGTTCCACGGAAGAGGGGCCTAAAAACTGAAGGCTCTGCCTCCTTTTATAATTTTACATGACCTAGGGACCACAAGTAAGCATGCAGTCTGCTATCAAGGTGCTTTAATGGAGTGATAGGTGCTATGAGGTAATTAAGATAAGATGGGGCCTGTTCATCTGGACGTAGCATTTCCAGTGGGAGAAACATTTCATCACTCATCCAAGTGACTTCTTCAGTCTCAGCTGACTGCAGCTTTCCCCAACCTTTTAAACAGTACATTTGCATAATGACTGAAACCAGCCCACTGAAGGAACAATGGGCCATGAGTACCATTCACAGAAAGTTGGGGAAGGGCTGCAATCACAGCATTGTAAGATGGAGAAAGATGTACCCTTAGGCCCCCTCCTCGATTCAGAGATAGTCTTTCCCTTTTCTTTCGCCATCTTACGCTCAATCAATGCTGTGATTGCAGCCATTCCTCAACTTTATGTGAATGGTATTCATGGCCATTGATCAGTGGGTTTTGGTCAGTGGTTGTTGATCAATGGTCAATTATGATGAAGGAACTGACCTCCGAGCCCATTGTTCCCTCACTGGGCTGGTTTCAGTCATTATGCAAATGTACTGTTTATAAGATTGGGGAAAGCTGCAGTCAGCTGAGACTGAAGAAGTCACTTGGATGAGTGACAAAACCTTTCTCCCACTGAAAACACTACGTCCAGATCAACAGAATCAACTTTTGGAGATTTACTTACCTGGATGATTGAGCATGGATCAAGATGATCGGCTAGTTTTTCAGCATTACTCTGAGACACGATGTTTTTAATTTTAGAGATGTTGCGCAAATGAAAGAAAGCAGCCCGACATTTTTGTTCAATATGCACTTTTAAGAACATATCCTGATCAAAAACAACTCCAAGATTCCTCACAGTGTAACTGGAGGCCAAGGTAATTCCATTCAGAGTAAGCATCTGAGGACATATCATATTTCTAATATTTATACAATTACCTCAGTTTCATTTGAATTTAGAAGCAGAAAAATGAGGTCATTCAGGTCTTTAAGACAAAGTAACTAATTTTTGTGTGTTATCTGGCTTCATGGATAGTTGAGTATCATCTGAATAACAGTGAAAATGTATGCTATGCCTTCTAATGATATTTCCTAAGAGGGAGCATGTATAATGTGAAAAGAACTGGTTCTAGGAACCCTGTGGAACTCCATAATTATCCTCAGTGTGTTAAGAGGACTCTTCATTTACAGGAAAAAAAATGGATGAGATGAGTCCACTGTCAGAGGCCATAGAGTTTTGTAACACGTCACTAAAGCTGTTTCTTTACTCTGAAACCTGACCGAAACTCTTCAGATAAACTCTTCCTCTACAGAAGATTTTTTGTGCTGTTTTACAACAACTCTTTCAAGATGTTTGGAGATGAAAGGAAGGTTGGAAATTAGCCTATAATTATGTAGGACAGCTAGATCTTTTTTGTTTGCTTTACTCAGAAAAACAAAAAGAAACAAAAAGTGTGATTTTAAGAGGACATCACGCTTCAAACTATTGCTATATTATTGTGATATTGCAGGAAGTTTTTTCAAATTCAGCTCAAAAGCTAATTTCTGTCAGCAACTCATAAAGAATACATGGACACAGACATGCTTTCCATTCTCACTTTAATCATACTGACCAACAAAATTATTAAAGTTTCAGTGGATATGGCATGTTAGTGACAGTTTGTCCCTTTAATGGAATCAGTCTGAACAGAAAGAGTTAAACAGGAATCTCTGAAAAAACTGGAACATCAAACGGAGATCAAGACCATACAAAGCCAGAAGTGAGGGAAGGTTGGACAGAAATTCATCTCAAATCATGAATTTGAAACAAAAACAAAATATTGATGTTACATAAACCCAAATTAAAAATATAAAAGGGCCAGGAGTAGTACCCTGAGGAACCTCATAAACAATTATTGACTCTAATTCTCTCTGTCACGGGTGGGACCTGTAGCTCTTTGCTTACAAGGATAAACATTGTTTCTCTGAAGGGATTACATGAGAGGCATAAGTGTGAGTGTTGGTGGATGTTTACAAATGTTTTACAGATAAAGCCTTTTTATTGCAAGATGCTGACTGCCGCCATTTGTGCCACTGTGCACCAGCTTCTTGATACCCTCATGGATCCATCGAATGTACCTGGACACCTGGGTGTAGAAGTTATACTTGCCCTTGCGTCCGCAGCCTTCGCCCCAACTCACAATGCCAGTGATGAAGTGGGTGTCATTATAACGTGTGATGTGCGGCCCACCACCATCACCTTGGCAAGCATCCCTAGATTTGTAGCCAGCACAGAACATGCCATTAGTGACTAGAAACCGAGTGGAACTGATGCAGGTTTGACGGTCCACGTGGGTTACAATGAGGCGCTTCATGATCATGGATGGAATCTGAGCCTCCTCAAGACGTCCAAAACCACTGACCACAGCTACTGGCTCCCGCATCAGGACCTGAAATTAAAGGTAAAAAATGTATCCAGAGTGGCAGCTGTCTGTTTCTGATCCTGCATTTCTTTTATTTTTTCATGTAAACATGGCATAACTACAGTTATGTAACTACAGGTCTTCAACACCCAGATAATTAAATGTTTAAGCTTAATTTGTGGAAAACACAAAGGCCTTCTTTTAAGGTAAATAAAATAGAGTGACTGCTCTAGCTTGTGGGAAAGTCAACCCTCAAAGTATTTGACCATTGGCCAAGAAGAAATCAGATTTAGGAACCAACTTCTTACAGATGTCAGATTTGCACTATAGCATTTAAAGATGCTAAAAGTGGTGTTTATTCACTGCTGTCTTTAGCTAATTAATTAAACCATGCCTTTATATCGCAATCATACTTGAATATTTTTTATTTTTTAACTTGAGTTTTCACTCTTTACTCTCTCATGTATATATTTGAACTTAAATCTGTATTTTTAGTTCTGTGTTGTGAAGCACTTAGAATGACTGTGGTGTTTCAAAGGTGCAACATACAATAAATGACATGTTTATATTCAACTGTTTGCCCGTCCCTAATTTTTTGAATTTATTGTTGGATCTTGTGTAGCACTTCTTGTGAAGGTGATATATAAACCAAATTTTACTTACTGACTTATTTTTTTTAAAACCTTCTTGCACATTTGTCACATTCACATGTTTTAGATCATCAAGCACATTTTAATATTAGTCAGATACAGTTTTTAAATGATGATTTCATTTAAGAGAGTAGAAAAAAGCTATCCCAACCAATCTGACTCCAAAATGAATAACTGGTTGTTCCATCCTTGGCAGCAAGAACTGTGAACAAACATTTGTGAAAACTGTGGAGAAATATTGTGTCACTCTTCTTTGCAGAATTGTTTTCAATTGCAAAGACTCAATTTATCTCAGATCTGGTGTCCACAATTACCCACAAGAATTAAAAAACAGAAGGTTTTTAACCCTTTCACGCATAGTGGTCACTACAGTGGTCAGCTATTGAAAGGCTGTTTTCTTGCATTTGTGTCAGTGTTCATGGTATACTTGCACTTAAAACATTACATTGGACACTGATGTGTCACCCCATACCCTGCCACCCACTGGTCGTTTAATGTTACTATAGGTGTATGACGTGTTTCACTGTAATTATTGTTATTTAACCCTGTCATGCATGAATTATGACAACTTTGAGCAGGATTTTTTTTCTTAAGTGTTTTTGTTCATCTTTTCATGGCTAAAAATGAATACTTAAGAAAAAAAATCCAGATTGCGCTTGTCATAATTAATGCATGAAAGGTTAATCGTGTTATCAGTCCATGTAATAATGTTGGAGCAGTACCTGCACTAAGTATGTGTGATGATTTTGGGGGCATTTTTTACTGACAAAGTTTCAGCCATTAAGTCTTGTCTTGTCATCTATTGCCTCAGACCACATTGTTCCTCTGACAAACTTTGATAAATTAACATTAGAAGCAATCTGAGCACTTCACCCTTTACATTGATGGGAAGGAGGTAGAAAGGGTAGAAAAGTTTACCCAATTACCCCAGAGACTGCTAGTAAACTACTACCGCTCCACCATCTAGAGCCTTCTGACCTACTGCTGTACACGCTGGTTTAACTGCTGTACTGTGGGGGACAAGAGGAAACTGCAGCGGCCGGCAGGTGGTGAGGGCAGCAGAGCAGGCAATTGGCACTTCACTAACCCCCCTCAGAGAAAATTATACTGGCAGATTTCAGTGGAAATCCATATCATCATCAAGGACTCGCACCCTGGACACAGTGTTACTGTGCAGATACTTACGTTATTGCATATTACACACGTAAGTTTTAGGTGCCCTTAAACTTACGTCTATTTTTATCTTCTTCTCATATCCTAAAACAATCGCAATGTAAATCTACATGATGCCAACAGAGAGAACACAAACTGTGTTTCATTGTCTTGTAACAGTGACAATAAAGATCTATTCTATTCTATTAAATGTGGAGTAAAATGATGACACTAGCTTAAAGTTTCACCTTTTTGGCAAAGTCTTGCTCAGGAATGCAGACTGGCAGGATGAACCTCGTGAACTTGATAGGTGTAGCCAGTTTGATGAGTGCAATGTCGTTATCGTAGGTTTGTGAATTGTAGTTTCTGTGGGCGAGGACTGCTTCCACTTTGTGGTCAACTTCAGTACCTTCATTCACTGACCTGTCAAACTCACCTGTATGCAGAGAAACAAACAAAACACTTTAATTACAACAGTCAAAACAAAAATGAATACATATATGACACCTACAAATCTGTAGTCACATCTGTAATCTGTTTTCAGAATTTACTGATGTAAAAGGACTTGTTTTATTGCAGTCTGGCACTGATTTTTAGTTGGGGTTATGGAGCTGTTATTGCATGATTTTGCCAGAAGGAGGACGTAGCATTGAGTGCGATAGGCTGCTGCAATGCTCCCACACTTCAGACAAGGAAAATTCTCCAGACAGAAAAACCGATATCATAAAGCATGTAATAGACGCGCCAGTCCATCGTGTCCAGCCTGGTTCTGCCAGAAGTTTCTTCCTGTTAAAAGGGAGTTTTTCCTTCTCACTGTCGCCAAAGTGCTTGCTCAGGGGGTCATATGATTGTTTGGTTTTTCTATGTATGCATTATTGTAGGGTCTGCCTTACAATATAAAGCGACTAGAGGTGACTGTTGTTGTGATTTGGCGCTGTATAAATAAAATTGAAGTGAATTTACTGTCCAAAGAAATTATAGTAAATATTTATATAAAAGATTTATGATTTCTTATTAGGCAGACAGTCATCATTAAAATAAAACTTAAGCAGGTATTTTTGAATCTGAATGTGAAGACCTAGAATTGTATGTGAAGGTTTGTAATTGGCTCATCAGACCTACCGAGCCTGACGTTGAAGTCATCTGACTGGTTTACACAGCTGGCAGCTGTCAGGATGATGTTTTCATTGAGTATTGTTCCTCCACAAAAAACGTTTTCATTTTCATTGAAAAGGAGGGCCTAAGATATGGGGAAAAAAAACCATGTAAAATTAGACTGTTAAACCTGTCCAGAGTTGGAAGATGTGTGAGGATGACAAGCAATTCTATGAACTCTGTTAAAAAACAAAAAACTCATTTGAGAGTGATAGTCTGTATCTGATCAATATTTTTAATGCAACTTCATGTTGTGGGTATGTTCATGTGTGTCTCTACCTGCCATGGACATTCTCCTGGTGGACAATACCCTGACTGGCGATATGACTCATCTTCTATTTCAGAGTCAATCAGACTTTCCAAAGTTGTCCAGGTCTTTGCTGGAATTTGGGTTCTGTTTTCAGACACTAAATCGGACATTAAATCAGCATCCTGGATCGGCTCTGTGGAGTTTACACTGCTGTTAAGTGCAGTTATATTCCCCTCCATTGTTTTTGTCTGATGGTCCCTCAAAACAGTCTGCAGCCCTTTGGGGAGGATGAAACCACATCTGATGGTCTCTGCAAGAGTTTTATATAAATTAGACGTTGGATTTTGTCACCAGAAAGTTTAGTTTCACTTTTTATAGTTTCTAATGTCTGATCTGTGATGTATTTCACTGCTCTGCTATCAGAGTAAAAGACCAGGTAGATTCTTAAGACTCTCACCATTGAAATGGCAGGATTTTTTATCAGATGCCAGGAAGTACCCATCAGCACAGGAGCACTGAACACTTCCCTGGATCACATTGCAGAAATGTTCACAGCCGCCATTTTTGTTCTTACAGAGCTGAGGAAGAACTGCAAATACACAGACACTGTTAGGATTCTGCACTCCTCCTTGTGTGTGGCAGTTAAAGTTGAACAATTCAGAGACACTGTAGTTATGCTTAGCATCTGAACAAACACCACATCGCCAGTATCCCAGCTAAGATTAATCTTAGATACATATCTCTTTTCATGTATAATTTTCACCTATTTGAAATATGTTACTGTGCTTTCTGTCCAGTTTTGAAGACAGTTGGAGTAACTATACCAGAGCAAGGCTCTAGGCCCAGATAACATCAGCCCCAGTATTCTGAGGACCTGTGGTAGCTAAGTGTGTTCCCGAGTCAAATTTATAACCTGAGTCTGAAGCAGCAGAAAACAAATCCCATGTGATTCCTGTACTGAAGGAGCTTGTACTCTTTGTCCTTTATCTCACAATATAAAGTGCATTGAGGCAACTGATGTTGCTATTTGGTACTATATGAATTGAAAGAAAAAAAAGAAAAATTGGTACTATCAGAGCTATCATTAAGGTAAGACTAGTTTAAACATCTGTTGACCCTCTGCAGTTTGTATACAGATCCGGTCAGATTGTCTGGTTGACGCTATCTACGCAAGTATAAATTGTATAAATGATGACTGTTACATGCGTATATTTGTTGCTTAAAATCCACATAATTAAATTACTTGGAACAAACAAAACCCTGGAGTTTACCACTTGGAAAGCCTATCGTTTTAGTTTAGTTTAGTTTTAGGTTTGTTTTTCTTCATTTCTTTTCATTTGGCTTCTTATTTTTCTTTTCATTAATTAAGCAGATGTAGTTGAACATATAGTAGCTAATGTGAAATAAAACTCACCAGAGTAAACAGCCCAGAAGGTTTTCTACACACAAAAAAAAACAACAATTAGAATTCAGGAGTCATTAAACAGGACTCTTTATCGTTTTTTCTGGGGGTTTTTTCTAACATTTAAATGTAAAAAAACAAAACAACTAATCTAATAACAAACATAAAAGCTCAGACTTGAGTCTGCAACTGAACTTTTAACTGTGTATCACGCACTCTAGTCGAATCTAAGAATGAAAATGCAGGTGTAGAAATGAGCTGAGTAGCTCCTTTTTTAAATTTAACCAACTGTCTTCTGGGTGTCTTCAAAGTACTCGCGAGCCTCTTCAAAGTCGCACTGTTCCTCGTAGCACTCCCGCTCCAGGTTCCCCTGTCTGAACTCCTCCATAAATGTATTGGCCCGTTTGGGCCGCAGGAACACGGTGTTGGCCTCGGGAGCTGAACGAAACACTAAAAACACAAGAGTGTGAATTTACAGGTTGTTTCCTGTGGCACATTTAGTCATAACTGGAAGAACTGAGCAACTGAAAAACTGGAGGCTCTGCCATGTTAGGTTAACACATAATGAATAACTAAAACTAACTGAAGTGTTACAAAGTTAACAGAGGATAAAAAATTAAACAATCAGTCATTTAATTTCTACTGGTGCTTTGACAGCTTTGACTATAGCTGTTATATATTCATTTTTGTCTACAGTACTTTTTCAAAAATCTTAAGCCACGCCTCTGCTTACCCACCAATGGCTCTGTCCTCCACTGCAAGATAACAATCTGCAACTCACCTTGACCTGTGCGGTCCCCAGTCATCCTCCTAGCCTCCCCATGGTATCATACAAACTCTAATAAAAGACTTAAAGCAAACCATTCCCTTTGGTGCACGTTTGGCTTTTGCTCTTGAGACAGTTTATCACCAGTTGCACTGTTTAGTGGCATGACATGATCTATAGAAAATGCCAAAGATAACGCAGTTTGACAGACATAAAATAGTATTATAGCACTAATGAGGTGATTACCAAAGAGCTATTAGCTCTTCAAATGTATTCTTAAAAAAATGAAGACTGAACAGTGAAGGCCCAAATAAGACGTGGCAAATTTTAAAGAAATTACAAGAAAGCTGCCCAAGAGAGTTCAGACTGTGCTGAAGAATTTTACAATTCATAAAACGTGCACATGTAAATAAATTTGCTTACAAAGTGTAAAGAAATGAGCGGAAGTCTTTTTTGCACATTAGTGTACAAATTCATGAAGTCACTGTTTAAATGTGATTTGAATTAAGAAGATTAGAAGTCATGATATTAATGGATTAATTTATACTTTTAGTATAATTTAAATAAAATGTAATAATTGAATTTAATAACTATTTAATCACTATGTTTAAGGCTGCATTGGAGGTTTCAATTTTTGTGTGTAATATTTTACTTAGCCATCCCCATTGTTTTTTTTAACCACTAAGTTACTATAGTGATAATGATGCTATTTTGACACAATAAGGACTAAATATTGTTTGTTTGTATAAGCTATAACATTGGACACAAAGCAATTTTTCTAATTATCACTACTGTAGTAACAGTAACTGTAGTAACAGCAGGTTTTTATACCACTTGAATATTTTTGTCAGTCAACTAAGGAACACCAATAACACAGCAAAAGGTCAAAGGTCACTCTTTTACCTTTTCCTTGACTGAAGACCTGAAGGAAACATTGAAGAAGGCAGAACAGGAGAAGAGACGCAGACATGATGCTGACCGCCATGACACTGACTGCACTGCTGACACACACACACGTACACACACACACATATACACACTAGTGACTCACAACACCAGTATAAACCTCAGACATTGTATCATGTTTTTAACAGTCTGTTAAATGGACTTCATTTATAACTGGCCTGAAATAAAGATGTCAGTCTGGTCCCAGGTTATTTTACTGGTGTGTATTTTTGTGTACATATAAACATCCAGTCCTTATAAAATTATTTGTTTTTTGACATTTTATTCACATGATTCTCTAAAGAGTTAAAAGACCACGCAGTTTCCCGTAAACGCTCTGTTCTTGAAGTGGACTCTGGCCTTTCCTTTAAAAACAAGCAAAACAAGCAGAAGGTCAGACCTCTGAAAAATCAACAGTCTCCATGTTTGTTTGTTTGAGGTAAACAAGAATAGATTTCATCACTGACATTTTTACATAACATTGAGTTTATCCAGATCAAGTAATAAGATGGTTCTTTAAAACCATTGTGCCACAAATTTTACATTTTCTTGAGCAAAAACACAATTTTGTAAAACAACTTTTTTCCAAACTGTCACAGGAGATTCTTTCACCTTTTGAATTACTATTATAAATACAAGCTATATTTATCATTAAATGACATCAGGCTTCAACGTGTTCTTATAGTTTGCTTTTATTTGCTTCATGTTCAGTTTAAAAGCTTGTTTCTATCAGTGACTCATGAAGCATACATGGAACAAAACATTGAATTACAGAGATTATGAAATGCATTCTGTTTAAAAAAAATGTAATTATACTAAAAAAATGTATTCAATCAAATTTCAGAGGATGTATCCAGTATACATCTTTGATGGAAACAATCTCATGAGAAAGACTTACAGAAGAATCAGTGAACAAACCAAAACACAAAACATCTAAAGTGGAGATTAAGACCAAAATCAGAGCCCAGAGGAAATGATGGACTTGAATTGTTCAGAAATATAATGTCAGATGATTGCTCTGGAAAAATGAACATTAATACAAAATTAATGTTACATAAAATAAAATTAAAAATATAAAGGACCAAGAGTAGTACCCTGAGGAACCCCCAAATAATTACTGACTCTAATTCTGTTCGTCACAGGTAGGATTTGCAGCTCTTTGCAGCACTAGGATGAATAGGTTTCTCTGACTATTCATTAGTGATTACATGAGTGGTGCAAAGTCTGGCTGATCTCTGCTCAGTGGATGTTGACAGATGTTTTACAGATAAAGCCTTGTTATTTGGGCATGGCTCCTCTTCATACTGCTGCCGGTCTTGTTTTTTTGGATCAGCATCTTCATACCATCACGGATCCATTCAATGTACTTGGACACCTGGGTGTAAACACCATACTTTCCCTTGCGTGCACAGCCTTCACCCCAGCTCACGACGCCAGTGACAAAGTAGGTGTCACGGTAACGTGTGACATGAGGCCCGCCACTGTCACCTTGGCAGGCATCCTTGGCTATTGTGTCATAACCAGCACAAAACATCCGCTGCGAGATACGTAAAGGAGTGGATTCGATGCAGGTTTGACGGTCCACATAAGGTACAGATAGGCGCTGCAAGATGCTGGATGGCTCCCGACCCTCGCCAAGACGTCCAAAACCGCTGACCATGCCATCCGGCTCCTGCATCAGGACCTGACAATAGAGGTAATTCATGCTCCTGTGTATGATTGTCATATAAACGTCACATAATCAAACAAATTTGGTAAACTCCTTTTTGGTTGTTTTTTCTTTTCTTTATGTTTCTTTCTTTTTTTCTTTTTTTTTTTTAAAATATGAACTAAAAATTAAGGCTGCATACACAAATGTTTTGCTTAATCTTTTTATAAGCTTCTCTGTTCAAGTATAAAATTTAGTTGTTTATCAATAGTCTGAAGTAATAGGAAAAAGTTTATTAAGCAAAATAAAACTTTTTGCTTTTACTAATTGCACCGTCACCTCAAAATTAGATTTTCCATTACATTTTGCATTATTGACATCAGGGGATCCTCAGAATTTTAGTAAGAAACAAAATAAAACTCAGGTGGCACCAGCAGCAGTATCTGCATCCTCTTTGGCCTCATATGAGAAATCTATTATTAATCTAGATGTGATGGATTCTCTAAAGCTCAATTCTCATGTGAACAGAGTGGTAAAATCCTGTTTTTCCAGCTCTAGCTGTGGTTAAAAATTAAGCCTCCTTTGTCCAAACATAACTTTGCTTTTATAACATCTTGTCTTAATTACCCAGGACTCGTTGCTCGATTTTTATCTGCTGCAAGCAACATTATGTCAGTCCAATTTTACCTTCAGGTCACGGACTTTCAGTTCATTCACAAATCCAAGTCTCTTAATGATTGCACCCCCATTTTATCTATATCAGCTGCTGCATCCATCTGTCCCACCTTGTTGTCTACGTCTCTATGCTCTCTTTTATGTTTGGTGTTACAACACTTTGGTCAGGCCTGTTATGTATAAATAAAAGTGATATGTAATGGTATAGTATGATATGATTTTAAAAATTCACCTTTTCAGCAAATTCTGGCTCAGGAATGCAGGCTGGCACAATGAACCTGCTGAACTTGATGGGTGTGGTTAATTTGATGAGTGCAATGTCATTGTGGTAGGTGTCTGCCTTGTACCCTCTGTGGGTGAGGATCGTGTCCACAATATGGTCAGCTTCAGTGCCCTCATTTACCAACCTGTCAAATTCACCTGAGTGCAGAGAAAAAGCAAAGATGTTCAGCGATGTTTTAATGAAAAATCATAGTAATTCAATTTTTTATAGCATACAAAGCGCTTTGAAAACAGAACACTGTTAATCACGTCCCGATTAAGGGACATGGCCTAAAACCTGTGCGTAACCAACAAAAAAGTTCTAAACTGCACTATTTCTACCAACTTAAAAAATGCACATAATAACCTCAGCATTGGTAATGTTGTATATTAAAAATTTTTAAATGATACCTATATACTGTACCATATCTCATACTTTGAAAAAAATACCCACATTAAAATCTGTTATAAAATTTATCATATTAAATATACAATTGAAAAATATGTCATACGGACCATAAAGTTAAGGTAAAAATCATAAATGAGATTTATTACTTCTTAATAGGCATAAAGACATTATTACCTTAATGGGATGAACTAGAATACGCAGGTTTACAATTGGTTCATCAAACCTACCGAGCCTCACGTTGAAGTAACGTGACTGGTTCATGCAGTGAGCAGCAGTCAGGATGATGTATTGATTGAGTATTGTTCCTCCACAAAACCCAATATTATCTTCATTCACAAGGAGAGCCTATGAGGACAAAAACAGCCACCCACCCCCCAAAAAACGAAAAAACATTTGAAATGACAATATAAAACCTGTGCAGAGGTCTAAGACATGTGAAAATGAAGTTTAATGCTATGAACTCTTAGGTGTCAGCTGAGTATTGATAATGCCTTCTAGATGTTTACCCTGAGGGAATCATGTGATCGCATTGAAGGTGATAGTATGGGTTAGGGTTACTTTTTACTGAAACAGAAACTGTATCTGGCGGGTAAGTTCTTAAATTATAATTTCAAAACGTTTTGTGAAAGTGTCTCTACCTGCCATGGGCATTGTCCTGGTGGACAGTCCTCCCCGTTGACAATACGAGTCATTGTCGCCATTTCAGACTGAATCATCTTTTCCAAATTAGGATAATGTGCCACGTTTTGGCTTTTGTTCTCAGACACTGAGGACATTGGACCAGCATCCTGGACATAAGGCTGTGTTGTTAAGTTGATGTTGCCGGTGCTGTTAAACTTAGTTATGTTCCCGTCTGTTGTGTTTTTCCTCTCATACCAGAAAACAGTCCGAACAGCTTTGCTGCTGATGGCACCACATTTGTACGTTTCTGAAAGAGTTTGTATGGTAATGAGAGGTTGAGTTTTGGGACCACAAGATTTCAACATTGTGGTTTCCAAAGTCTGATATGTGATCTAGGTGCTCTTTTACTGTTCTGCCATCTGAGTAAAAGACTATTCACATTCTTAAGCCTCTCTCACCGTTGGAGTGGCAGGATTTGTCATCTGATGCCAGGAAGTATCCATCAGCACAGGAGCAATGAATTCTTCTCTGCATCACTTTGCAGAAATGTTCACAACCACCATTTCTGTCTTCACAGAGCTGAGGAATAACTGCAAAGACACAGACACTGTTAAGATAGATGGTGGCACTGTTAAAAAAACAAAGTGGGTTTCTGAAAGAACTTTTACATCGTCACAGATGTGCATGGTTAACAATTTGGAATGGTTGAGATTATGCTTAACATCTGAACAATTGCCAAACTGCCAGTATCCTGGTTATATTCATATCTATCCCTTCATACAGAATGTTCATCCTTGAATACTCACATTCAAATCTACCCAAAGTCTGTGATCCTATGTAAGGGTAGGAACATAGAATGACCATGAAATCGAGAGTTTGGCTTTTATGGTCTTCACCAAAATAGAAAAGTATGGCATCCGCATCACTGTTGATGCTGCCCAAATCTGTGTCAGTTTCTCACTCCCCTCACTTGTGAACAAGTAGATGCTTGAAATCCTCCACTTAGGGCAGTAACTTATCCCTTACCCAGAGTGGGTGTTCCTCCCTTTTTCTGCACCTCCTTCCATCAGCCAGAACACAGAAAAGTTGTATGATGGATGGGTCCACAATAACAATGACCCAAAACATGCTGACAATGCAGAAAGTGGCCACAGGAACCCTGCGTCCATGAAACAGCTCATGTTGTAACAGAGTCTTTGGTTCCTTTTCTTCTACAGATTTAGATTTACTATTGTTTACCATCCTACCTCAAGAAAGGTCAGGCTATCCCAGGAAAACTAGCGAGAGGAGGCTCAGCCAGCCATGTTTTTGTCCCCACTGCTATCTATGCTGAAGTAATATAACCTCCAGAAAGGTTAGAAAACTCCTTCTGAAATGAGCAGTTTTCCCTTTTTGTGGCAATAGTTTTTTTCAGATAAGATACTGAAAATGGATGGGAGCTTTCAAACATTAGCAAAACTTGACCAAAATTTAACCATTACTAACCTTACAGTATACCTACAAGATTGTATTATTGACCAGAATAAGTTAATATGTTTTTCTGAAAGGCAGTAAGTGAGATTTGAAGTTCTTCACCAATTTCACAGTTGAAGCCCTTGTACCCTTCTTGGCAGTAGCAAGTGTAGCTGCCAATTCCATCTTTGCATTGGCCGCCATTAACACAGGGTGATGATATACACGCATCTCCATCTGTGGGACATGAACAGCAGATTGAATCAAGTGTTTGACTGTAGTGGTCAAAGTACAAGCATTTTAGCAGCTGTCCTCTTTCAGTCGGTAATTGTACATATATCCTAATGTCCTTTCAGGGTAGTATTTGTAAAGTTTCAGTATTTCTAAGATTTTTAATACAAAAACTTACCAATATACTTGGCCCAGAATTCATCCTGAAAAAACACAAAAGAAAATTAAATTGCTCAGAAGATCTAAACGCCAGATTTTCCATCACTAAATAATAGTTAATAATGGAAAATACCATAATTTAGACATATGATTCCTAATATTTACAATAATCTTTTCTAATATTTCCTAAAATTTTGTAATGTTTGAGTGCAAATTTAAATCAGTGTTTTGGTGTGAGGTATGTTAGGTTAATACAGTTTTTTCTTTGTCTTCAAATATCTCTCGCGCCTCTTCCCAGCTACAGCGCTCCTCCACACATTCTCTTTCCATGTTGCCTTGTTTCCACTCCTCAAAAACGCTGTTAGCTCGTCTCCTTCGATTCAGCACTTGATTGGCCACTTGGCTGTCTAAGAAGACTGAGAAAAAAAATGTAAAACATTAAATTAAACATCGGTATTTAATTTAATGATTTCGGTTTAGTGCATTTTGAAAAAGTCATGAAGCAACACTTGAAGTGCCAGAAACACTTCTTCTAATGTCCACTTGAGGCTGGCTCCTAAACTGAATGAGTCCCCATAGACACCCATGTTAAAATGTCCATCTTTACAGTTAAAATAACATATTTACAGTCTGATACAAATAACTGCTTTCTATAGGTTTGGTTCCCAAACTTTTTTTGCTGGGGCCCCGTTTGTTTTACAAGAAAAATGTTCGCGCCCCACCTCGCGCGCGCACACACACGCGTGCACAAACACATCCTCCAACCACACACACCCATATTTTGCTCCATTGCAGTTTATTTCACACCTCAGACATTTAGTAAACAATTAAGCAAATACAAGTAATCTGCAATACATTGCAGGTAGTAATAAAATAAACTCTTTTACGCTATGTCCGCACCTGCACGGGCATTTTTGAAAACGCAGCTGTTTTGTCAACGGCGTTTCGAATCACCGAAAACTGAGATTTTTTGAGAGATCTGAGATCCTTTTTTGCATTTACTTGTGGACGAGGAATACAGAGTTCGTCACGCAACGTCAAAGGTATGTGCCTTTTTTCACGTCACGCTGTGCGCCACGTTATTGTTTACATGGGATGAATTGCAGAATGACAGATAGAGACAAAATACTGTTACTGTTAATCTGACTATCTGCAGATTTTACACGCAGTTACTGTCCCTCCATTTACAAAGGCAGAGGCGTCACGATGTGATTATTTTACATGTAGTTGTTTTTTTTTTCCTGTGTAATAATATTCAACATTGCTATCAATACATTTTTCAAAAAATGGCTCTCTGTGCAAAATGGGTTTAAAAACATAAATAACTGTGGGATACTGTTTGTCTGTGATTTGAACCCAGGGAACAAATTGTGGCAGGATCAGCCTGATGTTATTTGTATCCCGCTGTAACTTTACTGTATAAAGAGCTAACATCTCCAAAATGTCAG